ATTGAGTATATTTAGGGATATATTTTTCTTTGTGAACATATTACCCTGGAATAGAATGCTCTCATTTACAGCCCTTTCTGTTTATCGTGGGAGACATTTCTGGATTTTTGCTTTTCTGTCTTTCCTGTTCTGTGACTGTCACTGCTCTGTTGGGATCACTTTTGTCCTGGCAGTGTCCAGTGATCTTCAGACAGTCCACTGAAGGTAGATACCTCCCAGTCCTTTCTGTGCGAAGACTAAAATGGCACATACAGTATTCTGTAGCTCCCTCTGGCCAAAGCAGAAGTGATCATCACTACCCCCTTTGTAGGATTCCTCCTGTACAGCATCACCCTTTGCTGGGTACTGCTTAGTTTTTAATCTCTATTTTTTCATTCTCTTTTTGATTTCCAAATAGAAACACCACCACCACTGCTCTCCCTCAACTGCCCCTTGTGAGGAAAGCACTGTATAACTTTGTTGACAAATGTCTGTTTGGTAATGCTTAACGATTAAGAAGTAAAACAGGGCCTGGCGCGGTGGCTCACGCTTGTAACCCCAGCACTTTGGGAGGCCAAGGCAGGTGGATCACGAGGTCAAGAGATCGAGACCAGCCTGGTCAACATGGTGAAACCCCGTCTCTACTGAAAATACAAAAAAAATAGCTGGGCATGGTGGCGCGTGCCTGTAATCCCAGCTACTCAGAAGGCTGAGGCAGGAGAACTGCCTGAACCCAGGAGGCCGAGATTGCGGTGAGCCGAGATCGCGCCATTGCACTCCAGCCTGGGTAACAACAGCGAAACTCTGTCTCAAAAAAAAAGAAAAAAAGTAAAACAGGGAGAAGTCCAACATTAATTCTAGTTTCAAACTAAAGACTGCTAGAAGCCAACAGAGTTTTTGTGTTTGTTTTGTTTTGCTGAGACGGGGTCTCCTCTGTCACCCAGGCTCATTGTAGCCTCGATCTCCCTGGACTCAGTGATCCTCCCACTTCAGCCTCCCAAGTAGCTAGGACTACAGGCATGCACTATGCATTTTTGTACTTTTTATAGAGATGGGGTTTTACTATGTTGCCCAGGCTGGTCTTGAACTCCTAGGCTCCAGCAGTCCACCTGCCTCAACCTCCCCTGATAGATTTTGAAGTGTAAGCGATTAATAACTCACTTGTAGCTGTGGAGCTGTTCAACAGAATTTGTAACTCGAGAATGCTATTTAGTAATAAATAAGAAAAGTTTGGGGAAACAAAGTTCTACATTGTGCTCCACTGATCGTTTTCTTTGAAACCTTACTGCAGATGCTGTTTCTCTATGGAGGCAAGGAGGAGGACAGTGAGTAGTTTCTGATGGGGCAAGGAGTTCAATTGTCCCAGCCTGCAATATGGCAGGTTAGAGGGGTGGAGAGAGGCAGGTATTGCAGGAGTAAGAAACAGTAGACAGACAAACCTTGTCACGAGTTTAGTGAGCCCAGAAGTCAACAACTGAGTCGGGGCAAGAAATTGGCAGGGCAGCCATAGATTTCATATGGTTATTGGATTAATTTATTTTTGCTTCAATATTTTATCAAGTGAGCCATTTATTGGGCTGAGTTCAGTTTTGTCCAGGGGATTGATTTGAAGTTTGGATCTGTCCCAGGAAACAACTTTCATCTAAAGTCATGCTCCAGCAAATCATGTTGATTTTTAAACGGAGCAGCCTATTAAAAATAGGTCAGATTTCAACAGGACAGCGGAACGTTTGGTTTGGGGAAACTTTGAGTACATCAGTAACTATTATGAGATATTCTGCTGTGATCACATGGCCTTCCTGTCATCAGGAAAGGGAGAGAATGGAACGGAGGATTCTTATATTCGAGTCAATTCACATAGCCTCTTAATGCCAAAAATTAGAAAGGGGGAGCATATCAGATGTGTACAGTTCAAATTCCATTAGTACTTCAGGTTACGTAACAGCTCATCATGTAATAGCTTTGGCCTGTGTCCAGTGAGCACGTAGATATTGGCGGCTTTGCATGCTTAATAGATCCCCATCAATCAGTCATGACACCTGGTCCTACACCCAGTTGCCATGTTTGTTTAAGCCGGCTTTGGAGGTTGTATGAATAGTGTTAGCAACCTGCTCTCCCACCCTTGGTGATAAATAGCACCTTTAGAAATTCTTTGGCACATTCCTAGGATGTGAAGGAGTAAAACTGGATCCATTGACATCTTTGGTGTTTATCAGCCTCCTCCTGCCTATGTTCTCATGACATCTCCAGGAGGGGAGTGTGGAGGCGCCTGGGGAATCCGTACTGCCCTGGCTTCTTGGGCCTCTGCAACCTCTGCCTTTCTGAATCGGCTAGTGGAGTGTCCTGCCTCGTGGAAACTGGCAAGGGCTACAGAGGGGCTGCCAAATGAAACTGACTCAGGACTGGACAAGCGAATTCGAGTTCACACAGAATGGAAAGGTGCACTTTTTCCCCTTAAAAAAATATTGCTATAACATGTTGGCATTGATTCATGCAGCCACTTTTTGTTCTGTGCAAACAATGGCCTTGGGGTAGCAGGAGGAACAATAGGCAAAGGACACAACCCCAGGGCAAAAGCCCCAGCTCCCTTGGACCACAGCTGCAGATCTAGAAAATTAAGAAATAACTTCCTCTTGGCTGGGCATGGTGGCTCATGCCTGTAATACCAGCACTTTGGGAGTCCAAGGCAGGTGGATTACAAGGTCAGGAGTTTGAGACCAGCCTGGCCAACATGGTGAAAACCCATCTCTACTAAAAAAAAAAAAATACACACACACACACACACTAGCTGGGTGTGGTGGTGCGCACCTATAATCCCAGCTACTCAGGAGGCTGAGGTAAGACAATCGCTTGAACCCAGAGGTTGCAATGAGCCAAGATTGCCACTGTACTCCAGTCTGGGTGACAGAGCCAGACTCCATCTCAAAAAAAAAAAACTTTGAGATTCCAGCAAGAGCTGTGTATAAAGCACTTGTATCTGTGTGGGAAGTTCCACTATTGGTGACTGATTGCCTGCTGTGTCCTATCATCCTGCAGGCAGAGCTTCGAGGAGCGAGTGGGACTGGGCGTGTGCAGATGTAGGGAAAGGGTGTTCCAGGCAAAGGGAACCACACAAGCAAAGGTGCTTGGGCAGAAAATACAGGTGTTAGGAAGCATCAGCAAGTTCCTTCCGCTGGAGCAAAGAACTTACAAAGGGGAACAGTGTAGGATGAGGTTGGCCTGGAAGTTTGGGGCCAGATTATAGAGGGCCTCAAATAGGAGGCTAAGGAAACTGGACTACCTTTTATAGGCAGTGAGGAGCTATTGGGGTTTGTAAGCAGGAGAGTAATATGATCAGAGCTGAGCTTTAGGAAAATTAATCTGGCAGCAAAATCCTGCAAAAGGTCTCTGGAACAAAAGGAGTAATAAATAAATAAATAACTTGAAAATTTGGCAGTCATCTTTTCAAATACGTTCTGAAATGTGTAAGCTATCATATGTATTTTGAAATGATAACAGCTTTCTCTTTCTCTTCCTGCACAGCAGCCAAATTCCGTGTTCATTCTTTCTCTCTTTATTCTCTTTTCTTTCTTTTCCACATTCCCTCCCTCCCTCTCTCTTTTCCTGTGTTTGTTTCTTTCATTGTTTCTCTTGGTTTCTATGTCCCTTCCTTTCTCACTCACCCTGTCCCTCCTTCACTCTTTGCCCTACTCTGTCTGTCCTGGTTAGTGGTATTTTGGGGGCGTGTCCAAACGCAGCCAGGGATTGAGAGTTCCAGAACAGTCCTTCAGAAGGGTCTGTCTCCTGGCGTTTGTGCCCAGTGTGCCAGCTGTGAGTGGACTGCATTACTGAAAGCAGTGAAATCACCCAAGTTTGATCTTCAACAATCCTTATCATACAAAGTATCCGTATTTTGAATTTGTAGGCAAATCATCGTAATTCATGTGGGCAATGTTTCTGCAATTGAACTTTCTGGACTCCTCACCAAAAGGTTCATTGGACTTCTGTAACTCGTGGGTTAGCAAGAACAATGAAATTTCTGTAGATTGTACAGATATGCCTCATATCCCTGCCCAAGCAAACTTAATAAATGTGTTCAGACTTTAGGTGTTTATGGATTTAACTCACAGGTTTGTGATTCTTTGTGGGTTCTCCTCTGGGTCTGTGGCACAGAATTAGGCTGAGGTATGACTCTGAGAAGTCTACTTTGGAAGATACATGTTACGGAAAAGGGTCATTTATCCTTATTCTGTGCATTTGTAACAATGCTTGTTAATTAAAACATTGTGTTGTGTCTGTGGAAAACAGCCATCAGGGGAGAGTCACATTTAGTGAAATCTGAAAGTAGGGCTAACTTGCCGTGTGTAGTGTGAGGCTATGCACAGGAAAACACATATGACTATGGAAATGGGATTCAAGGGAAAGCTGGGAGCCTCTATAAACATTCTTATATTTATGGATCTGGGAATTTGAGAAGGTTTCGGATGTATGCCTCAGGAATGTCAGGAGTCTGCTGTATATTCAAATTTACAAAACAGATAAATTATTGAATGACTATTCAAGTTGCAAAAATTCTTCACTTTGTTAAATATTTACTACACATTTACCCTAGAGAAGTTTCTTTAGTAAATACAGTACTTGATTTACAGAAATTCAGTACATTCCACTGTTTCTGGATGTATGTATTGTGTTAAGTGGGATCCTTTCTCCATAGCATGAGGAAATCTTAAGATCATCTTTTCTCCATTTGGTAAATCAGTTTGTATATCTGAAAGGCACCTGTTCAGTAATTATAGATTTGGTTGTTTACCTTGAGGAATTTTGTATTCTGGATGACTAATTTTCAAAACTGTTTGATAAAAAGGGTTCCTATTTGTCATGTTCAGTCATCACCATATTCACTGTGATTTGGCTTTGGCTCATGCAGAATAACCATTAAAACCCTGACTGTGATGTTCACCTGCTCTGGGACCAAAGGCCTCAGATTCCCCATCTGGAAAAGGAGGATAACTGTAGTATCCCCCCAAAGGTTTGGGAGAAGATTAAGTGAAATAGTTCCTATACCTGACACATGGTATGGGCGTAATAAATGTTAGCTATTATATTATTACTATTTGCTGTTATTTTTCTAGTCCCAAAGATGAGGTTAGCTAACTTACACTGAGCAATATTTTATTTCCAAAGGAGTGTTTTTTATTCAACTCTTCACATTTTGATTTTGTTCTCCACATGGACTATTACACATTTTCCCAAATGAGGAATGTTTGGCATCTCACTCAAACGATGGCATCCAGCAATCCCAGGAAATTTGGTGCTTGGATTAAAAGTGTTTTAAAAGTTCACAGATAAACTGGGTGTGATGGTTCATGCCTGTAATCCCAGCACTTTGGGAGGCTGAGGCAGGCAGATCACAAGGTCAGGAGTTCAAGACCAGCCTGGCCAACATAGTAAAACCCTGTCTCTACTAAAAATACAAAAAAAAAAAAAAAATAGCCGGGTGTGGTAGCAGATGCCTGTAATCCCAGCTATTCAGGAGGCTGAGGCAGGAGAATCGCTTGAAGGCGGAGGTTACAGTGAGTTGAGATCATGCCACTGCACTCCAGCCCGGGTGACAGTGGGAGACTTCTCAAAAAAAAAAAAAAAAAAAAAATTCACTGATTTATATCAACTGTACCATAACCTGGTATAGTTGTAAGAAATCAAATTTAAAGAGGGAAGGAAGAAAGACAAGGAGATGTGTGTATGTGTGAGGTTGAACCTGTAGCTGTCACGGTCCTATTTCTAGGAGTAGCTACCTGTCCAGCACTGCCTTGGTTCTGCCTTGGTTCTAGCTAAGCTCTGCTCCTTGACTTTGACGGTCCACATAGGCTGACACCAACAACTAACCCACATTTACTTTCCCATCATTCCACTTTACACTCAACCAAGCGCATCACCACGAACTTGCTCATGCAGTGACTCCGGCCAGGATTTCTGCCGGTGCTATTCGTTTACCCAGATTCTATCTGATCTTCAGGGTACAACTCAAAGCTTGTCAGATCCACGAAGACAACCCCAACTAGCTGACTTCTCACTGATTTCTTCCTTATTCAGCTTGTGTATCCTTTTCAGCCTGGGCCCTATAATAGAGTACCCTGTTTTAATTAATGGTAGTCACGGTAATACTTAGAAATATGCACATAAAGTTCTCTAGCCCCCAGAACATTTTCATGTATATTATTTCTCTGACCTTTATTACAGCCCAGTGAGGTGGGCAGGTCAGATCTTTTTAACTGTATTGTACACAGTTACTTGGTCAAGCTCATGGGGCCAGTAGACTAAGAACTTGAACACACCAAGTCTACCAGCCCTGTCGCTCACATGTGGTTTTATAGCACTTGCTGTTTCTTGAATGTTAATATTATCTCCTTAAGTTGTCTAATATTCTTGGTGTTGAGAGAGATGTCTTTTACTTTAGAACATGTTAATGGCATTTTTCCTTGAACCCAGCTCATTAAAGACTTGGTACCTAATAGTAGTAATGTTTGTGGCATATTTTCTCTGTGGCAGTCAGTGTGCTGGGTTCCTTTACAGAAGGCATCTCGCACAGTCCTCAGAACACATCTGTAAGACAAAGGACACTATTAGGTTTAGGTTTAGGCTAAGGGAGGTTTAGCAACTTGCTGAGATCAGATAGATCCAATAGCTAGTAAAGCAGCTTGAACTCATCGCAAAGATTGGTCATCATGGGAAACTTTTTGCCTTGTTTTTAAAATTCATATTTCTACATAGCTTATAAGTGGAAGGCTGCGTTGACAGTGGGCTGTATTGCTGAGTTGGGGGACAAGCTCTGTTGAGAGCTCAATGCCTGGGGTGATAAATGGAGACTCTGTGGGGCTGGGGCAAGAGCTAGCCCTTTGTCCTGTTGGGATCTTTTACTTTAGAAAAGAGCAGCCCATGCATCTCTTTCCAGAATTTCACGTTTTAGTTGGATTAAATGATGTCAGTATCCTCATATTCTACTTAAGAGGTACAGTGCTTCTGATGCATTTTCTCTTAAGTGCCCTTAGCTCCAGACTCAAATGAATGAGAACCTTGGAAATGTGGCTCCAAGTAGTACAAAAAATGGCTAGAGATGGCTACACACTCTTATGAATGCATATGGAGTTTTCATTGTGCACAATAATGTATATCTGTTTGTCTTAATAGAAAAATGCTTTTTATATTCCTTGCTTTTGAGGAAAAAAGTGAGATATGATTTTTGTATATTTTAATTGGGTTGATAAAAAGAGTACTAATGCTGAATTATGATAGGTTCTGGGTCCAGGCAGCCCCTCTCTCAGGTGATGGTATATTTTGAGAACAGAAACTTATACAAATGAGTGTTGGGGAATTCCACTTGGGGAGATGCTCAGCATGTCGCCAAAGAAGTGGATCCACGCTACATTTTCAGGCATAGGGATTATATATAGGAATTTCAGTAGGTGTTTTTTCATGCTGAGAAGCCAAGTTACTTCTATAGTATCCTGGACCCAACGTGTTTCTGATTTTAGTAACAACGGTTGTTCTTTATTTTGACCTATGTAAATAATTATCTTCACATGTAAATAACCTAACTCAAAGACTTACATGTATCTGAGCTGTTCATGAAAAACTCTCAAACGTTTTCATTCCAGTAGTCTTTGCAATAGCTCCTCTTTGCAATGATGGGTTTCAGCTGTGAAAGAAAAAAAATTTCCTAATTAAGTCAACTTGTGAATAACAAAGTAATTCATTGTATCCAGGTCTTCACTTTTGTGTTTTGAGAACATTTGTTTCCCCATTAAGGAAAACAATTCAACAGAAAGTTTGAGAATACTAGTCATGACCTACCCAGTCCTTCCTGTACCCACAGTTAGTATTCAAGGAGATAAGAAAGCAAGCTTTCCTAGGAGGCACTTTTTATTGCAGTGTTTCTATGAACTAATACTCAGCCGCTGTCTGCATTGATTTGTTTCTTTTTTTGAGTGTGGTATTCTCTCCTGAAGCTGTTGGTACCTTCACCACCCTCCGTCCTGGCTGGTATTCTCAGTTTTAACGATCAGCTCTACATCTTCAGAGATGTAAGCACCATTCTTACAATGAATGGAATGGAATAATGATACTTTATTAAACATTGCTCCATCAAATAATTTACAGCTAAGCATTTTGCACACTAGCAAGCCTTCACAAATAATATTATAAACAGAAAAAGCGAAGATCATTAAATGGACTCATCATTAATATAAAACCTCCCAGCCAACTGGTGTCTGCTGAGTAGTTTAAAATGTATTGTTTGGTGGTGATATTGATTTTTGGCTTGGCTGTCTTTTTTTGCTCCAAACCGGAATAACTGATGTCTACATGACAGGGCTTCACCAAATGTTCTTGTGGATTGAGCTTCACCTCCTAAAGTGTTTCTGAAACTAACTCCAACTAAAGTTTCAAGTAACTAAGTCCTTCACTAATTGTTTTCCAATTAACTCTCCCAAACCCCAATTTTTCTTATATTAAAAAAAAATTCTAGTGATTTTTCTTTAAAATGTGCATAGTTTCTTTGTTAATATCATTGCAACAATTTTTTTTTTCATACAGGTAATACTCAGCTTTTCTTCTACCAATTTTTTAAAAGTGAGGTTTAGGCACATTTATTTTTATTTGTTTTCAAGACAGAGTCTTGCTCTGTCACCCAGGGTGGAGTGCAGTGGTGTGATCTCAGGTCACTGCAACCTTCACCACCTGGGTTGAAGCAGTTCTCCTGCCTCAGCCTCCAAAGTAGCTGAAATTACAGGCACACAACACTATGCCTGGTTAATGGTTTTGCATTTTTAGTAGAGACGGGGTTTCACCATGTTGGTCAGTCTGGTTTCTTCTGACCTCAAGTGATCCACCCACCTCGACCTCCCAAATTGCTGGGATTACAGGCATGAGCCACTGCGTGGCCAGGAGCGTTTATATATCCACAGTGGTAAACACTTTCTTTGACATATTTGTTTTACACATCTTTGATTGTGACCAGTTTACTCCAAGTGGGTTTGGGATCATGCTATTACTATTGTTGTTACTATTACATTATTATTTGTACCAATTTTATTTTTATCTTTTATTTTAAGTTCAGGGATACATGTGCAGGATGTGCACGTTTGTTACATAGGTAAGAGTGTGTCATGGGGTTTGCTGTACAGATTATTTCATCACCCAGGTATTCTAGTGTCCATTGGTTATTTTTCCTGATTCTCTCCCTCCTCCCACCCTCTGCCCTCTGATAGGCCCCCGTGTGTGGTGTTCCCCTCTAGGTGTCCATGTGTTTCTTATTAGCTCCCGCTTATAAGTGAGAACATGCAGTATTTGGTTTTCTGTTTCTGTGTTAGTTTGCTAAAAATAATGGCCTGCAGCTCTGTCCATGTCCCTGCAAAGGACACGATCTTGTTCTTTTTTATGGCTGCATAGTATTCCATGGTGTGTATGTACCACATTTTCTTTATGTAGTCTATTATTGATGGCCATTTGGGTTCCATGCCTCTGCTGTTGTGAATAGTGCTGTGATGAACATATGTGTGCATGTTTCTTTATGGCAGAATGATTTATATTCCTATGAGTATATATCCAGTAACAGGATTGCTGGTCTGAATGGTATTTCTGACTTTAGGTCTTTGAGGAATCACCACACTGTCTTCCACTATGGTTGAAGTAATTTACATTCCCCCAACAGTATATAAGGATTCCTTTTCCTCCACAACCTTGCCAGCATCTGTTATTTTTTGACTTTTGATAGTAGCCATTCTGACTGCTGTGAGATGGTATCTCATTGTGGCTTTGATTTGCATTTCTCTGGTGATCAGTGATGCTGAGCTTTTAAAAATATGTTTGTCAATTTTAGTAGGGAAATCTCACCATAACTTCTGCTGATGTGGGTTTATTTTGAATTTTGCCTATTGTCTTTCACATTTCTGGTCACGTACACTTCAAATTTTAAGTCTTTAACAATCAACATTCCTATGAGTAAACACATTCCTGTTTAAGAAGTATGATATTTGAGTCAAAGTCTTAGAAAGAAATTAATACTAAAAAAGTGTGACTGCCTGGAAAACATACCCATCAAAATGAAATACTTTGAAAGTAAAAGTACAGGAGTAGCCTTTTGAGTGGTTTAATATGGCACTTGTCTTTATAGAAGGAAATGGGAGAAGGTGCATCATTTTTGTCATTTTGTCATGCTGTATTAATATTTGATATTTAGAAAATAGTACTAGTGTCCAGGAAAAATGGAAAATAATCTGCTTATTATCCCACAGTGTTTTCATGTAAACCTACAGATCTAGGCTTTTACCCATTGCTCTATCTGTAATAAGCATTATGGAATAATACTAATATTCTTCCATTCTTCTTTGATATGCATGAGGATATTTTTAAATTTAGATGTTTTATATCCAAAACAGTTCCAGACGCTACCCACAAAAATAATCAAGCTTCACGGGGTGAAGAGAAAGAGGGATATGTCCCTGGGAAAAACCCTTTGCTAGAAGGCTGAAAATCAGAAACTTTAAAAATAGCCTTTTGTGAGGCAAATGTAACTTGTTGAAAGCCGTCTTGCACATTTTTGAAACTAGGGTGAACCCCCCATCACCCAGGAGTCCAGGACCACTCTGTGGCCAGATGCCAGGAGGATGAACTTGCATATTTCAGATGCTTCATATTTTGCTTTGGATGTTCTGAGCTGGTAGTTGGGTGTAGCTCTTCTTGGATTGATAAACCATGTTCCCAGATGTTGAATTCAAGAAGGAATTTTTAACTCTTCTATGTTTAAAATGATTTCTATGGCTGAGGGCTAATAAACCAATTTGGGAAATTTTTTTAAGAAATTGGCTTCTTTTTACATTTGAATAACTTCATACAATAGGCACAACATGTCCTGTAAATAGGCCACCTGCAAAGTGCACTAGGTAATATGTTATACTGCAGATGTTCTAGTTTGTACCTGATGAGACGTGGAAATGTTTAGAAAAAAATGACTTGTGCAGTCCCACACAACTGTGTGCTTGGTATTTACTAAATTTGATTCTGCCTTTAGATGTTAAAAAGGAATCAGTCCACAGTAAACACTTAATGTGAAACGAAATAAAGGCAAACTGGAAACTTTCTTACCCTGTCATTCTGATCTCTTTTTGAAAGAAAGTATCCCAACAGCAATGAGGAAATATCAGCTTGGAATTCATACCTATTTGATTTGGCAAATGTGAATAACCATTCTTTCAGATGATCCAGGAAGTGAAAACATGGGCCAGCGACTGAAAAACCACCTTAGAGAGTATCTGATTAACTCTCTCATTGTACAGATGGAGAAACTGAGGCTCAGAGGTATCTAATGACCTTCTAGGAACAAGTGAGGGTGGGGGCTAAAAGTCAAAATAAATACTGACTTCTCTTACCGTTCCATCTCCTGCTGGTCACATCCAGCTGGAGGCCAGAGGGCAAGGTCTCCTTTCTGGAACATAAAACAGGACAAATAATGGCAGAGAATAGATCTGGGAAGGCAGAGAATAATCAGCACAGTGATTACATCCAGAATAAAAGGTCCTTTAGGAATGCAGTTATTCTGTTTATTCAGTAAATTTCCGTATCTTACCAATCACAGCAGCATCCACGTACATTTAAAATAGTTCCTGTATGCATGTGTGATACTTGTTTACATAACAAGTGTGCTGACGTTTGGTGCAGTGTGTGGGTTCCGGCTTCTTCTCCAGCAATACCATGACCTTCCAGGGCTTCATGGTCTTCTGCATGGGGGATTTCTGCATAATAAACACTCAGTGGACAAATCTCCAACTGGAAGAGATCTCTATTAGTACTGCTTTTTGAAAATAAAATCAACTCTTACCTTTTAGGAAGATAGCTAAATATTGCCAGAAGTTGGAATGCGAATTAATTATGAGCCAGACACTGTATGAGCCATCTCTCATGTGCTGCCCCAGATCCTCTTGGAAGTAATCTACTGAGGGGTCTTGGGTCAGTCCCTGCCACAGCTGTCCTCATGTGGACAAACACCACAGCTCCTAGCCTCTTGTCTGCCACCCTGGGGCTTGCTGTTGACTCTAAGGGGCAAGACTCCCAGGGTCCCATGGATGCTCAGGCATGTGCAACCAAGAGGGTAGGGAGGTGGCACCACTGGGGTGAACATCTCACTGGTAGGAGATGGGAATTAGTGAAACTCTTTTCCCTTCCCCCTCTTGATGGACTGTCCTGATGCTGCTTTTATGATGGTTGCTTGTGATCCCAGGGTCAGTTGCACTGGACGCCAAGCAGAGGTCAGCTTGCAAACATGCCCCATCCTGCTTTCTCTCCCTCCTTCCCTGCCACACTTTCCATGGCCCTCCCCCATGAATAAAGGAGTAGCTCTGCTTCAGGGAACCCAGTCTGAAATAGAGACCAGGGCCTGCCTTTTGGGGGTTCTCCTTCAAAGTCCGGTTTTCAAAGGAACTGATTGGGCAACTGCAAAATGAGTATGAGGACATTAACTTGACCAATCTGTAATTCAATTATTACAATTATCTGAATACCTCTTTGGCTCAAAAAAAAAAAAAAAAAAAAAAAGAACGCCAATCTGCTTTAAGAACAAAGAATCATAGTGTGTAGAGCCCTAACCTTCTTTTCTAGCCTCACCTGATATCTTCTCAACCCTCATCTGAGGCTCACTCCTTTCCTTTATGACATGCCAGGAACAAGGGAGGAACAGGAAAAGTCAGAATAAATACCCTGACTTCTCTTGCCATTTCATCTCCTGCTTGCCGCTAGCTTCCTCCCGACAAGGGAGAAGTAACTAGGATTCACTCTTCCATTTTCCTAGCTGGATGATCCCTCCCTGACAAAGAATCCAGAAGGAGGTGATGGTGCCAGGGCATGGGGGGAGTATCCACATGTGCTGATATCTCCTCACCCACCCTTCCCCAGAGCAGGTACACATCGCCCCCACAGAACATTTCCCAGTTCTTTATTTCCCCCAGTAGATGGAATCGGGAGAAGTGTATTGGAAGCTTTGCTTGGGATCCAGCTGCCTTAGTCCCCCTGCTGCATCTTGTTACTACATAGTGCTGGTGACCATGGGCGACAGTGTGTGAGACACGTCTGTAGCCTTAGGCCTGGTGCTGGCACAGGATGTCCTCTGTTCATGGCTAAGTAGCTTCCAAGCTGGCTCTCCTGGAGGTTCTGCAGGCTGCCTAATGTCCTTTAAGTATATTTTCCCCTGAAATCAGCTAGGGAGAGTTCCACTTGCAACAGACCAAGAGAGTAAGTCCCAAGCTTTCATTTGAATGTCATTTAGAGGGTTTTTTTCCCCTCTGTCCTATTAGCGTCTCTTTGGGATCTCCACATCTATCAACGGATTGCTTGCATTGCTTTTAAAAACTACTGTTTACAATGACGTTCAGCACTTGCAAAAGTTATTTGCTGCCAAGAGGAAACTAAATGCATTGTAATTAAAGGTATTTCGGGCTTTGATTACTAAGAAGTGCAGCGATACATCATTTACTAGTGCTTAATTTAAAAAGTATTTTGGTCATAATACATAAATTAGTTACCTTTGTAGTTTTCTTATAACCCATAAGACATTCAACTGCCTGAAAACTGCTGGCTACAAATAAGTAAACTTGTCATCACGTGCTAAAGGTGGCTAATAGGCTTGTCTCTACTGCCAACTATAATCGACTTATTTTTAGCATGTATAGTCACATTGTAATTGATGTCTGGAAACCTGGTTTGCTTTCTTTTTTCCTTTTCTTAGTCAGCTTTTATTTATGGGCATATGCATATAATTTAAAAATCAAATAGCCCAAAAAGGCTTATAATGAAAAACAGTATCCCCCCAAATTCCATCCCACTCCCCAGAGGCAACTATCATCAGCTTCTTAAGCTATTTCTTCTGGCATTTACCTTCATTTTTCTAGACAATGTGCATGATCCAGTTTGGATATTCCTTCTTGACTTCTTGTAAAGTGACTGGATTGAACACTCTACATCAACCACTGCCCCAGCCTCACTTCCCCGCCCTAATCACTGCCATGTAGTTACAACCGAACTTTTAAATAGTCACTGTCTACATTATTATGACTATGAAAAAATAGTTCACCGCGGTTCTTTCATATGTTATCACATGTATCACTTTCCAAACATTTCTACGTATCTGTATTAGGGTTCTCCAAAGAAACAAAACCAGTGGTATGCATATATAGAAATAGGTTCATTAGGTCGGGTGAGGTGGCTCACTCCTGTAATTCCAGCACTTTGGGAAGCCGACGTGGGTGGATCCTGAGGTCAGGAGTTCCAGACCAACCTGGCCAGCATGGCGAAACTCCATCTTTACTGAAAATACAAAAATTAGCTGGCATGGTGGCGTATGCCTATAATCTCAGCTACTCAGGAGGCTGAGGTAGGAGAATCACTTGAACCTGGCAGGTGGAGGTTGCAGTGAACCAAGATCATGCCACTATGCTCCAGCCTGGGCAACAAGAGGGAGACTTCATCTCAAAATAGATAGATAGATAGATAGATAGATAGATAGATAGATAGATAGATAGATAGATAGATTGATTCATTCATTCATTATAAGGAACAGGCTCACATAGTTAGGGAGGCTGAGAAGTCCAAGGTCTGCATTTGGCAAGTTGGAGACCCGGGAGAGTCGACGGTATAATTCCTTTCTGAAAGCCTGAAGTCTTGAGACAAGGAAGCGCCTATAATTCAGCTCAGGTCCGAAGGCAGGAAGAGCGACCTTCCAACTCAAGCAGTCAAGCAGGAGTTCTCTTTTACTTGAGGGAGGTCAGCCTTTTTGTTCTATTCTGGCCTTCAACTGATTGGATGATGACCACCCACTTTGAGGAGGGCCATCTGCTTTACTCAGTCTACTGATTCCAGAGTTAATCTCATCCAGAAACACTCTCAAAGACACACGTTATTACCAGAATAATGCTTGCCTGGATACCTGGGCATCCTAGACCCAATGAAGTTGACACATAAAATTAATCATTGCAATATCTTTCTGACAACTATCCGTTTTTCTGAGTGCTCAAACATAAAGTAACCTACCATTTGCATTTTGCTTTTTCTTGGAGGCCTCCTACCCTTAGTCTTCCACTCTCCTGCTCCAATCTGGACTGGTTGTGTTCTAGGCTGGGAGCATAGCTAGCATCCTTTCTTGTGGCGGCCCCTGTCTACCGCATCCTTCTGCTTTCTTGGTTACTGGAAACATCCTCTAATAGTTTCCTAAGGAAGGGTGCAAGGGAAGTATTTTTTTAGATTTTGTATATCTAAAATGTGTTGATTGCACCCCAGACTTAAACCAGTTTTGGAAATCAGTGTTGCAAATCATTTGTGTCTTAGAATTCTGAAGTTATCCCATCATTGTCTTCCAGCATTCTGCTTGTGATAAGACCAGTGCCATTCTGATTCTCTGTTTTGTGTGTGGTTGAATTTTGCCTGTGGATGTTTTTCAGGTCTTCTATTGATTTCTGGTATTCCCATACTTCATGTTGAGGTACCTTGAGGAGGGCCTTTGAACATCTGTGGTCTCCTACGCATCCCTTTTGAGGAACCCTTTCAAGCTAGAAATTAATACTTGTGTAATTTCTTTCAGTATTTCTTTGATACTTTCCTCCTTTGGACATTCTCTGTTCTTTATTTCTGGAACGCCATTTTGGATAACATCTCAAATTTCCATGTCTTTTCTATTTTCTGTTTTTATTTTTGCTTCTCCTTTCTGGAGAATTTGCTTTGACTATCTTCTAAATTCTCTGTTGAGTGCTTTAATTTTTATGACCCTGTAATTTCCGAGACCCTTCTGGTTTCTGATTATTCCTTTCACATCGCATTCTGTTCTTGTTTCATGGATGCACTATCTTAACATACTTCAATTATCATTCTTTAAGAATATAACAAGAGTTTTGAGGTTCTTTTTTTCCCCCTGCCTATCCACCCACCTCCAAGTTCTTTTTGTGTTTGTGTTAACTCTGCCTTTCTTGTCAGGGCCTTTCCCCCAATGGCTGTCAGCTTTTAGCACATATCCATATTGGACAGGTTGAAAGTTCTATGTGCATGTGCTGCAGATAACCCCTGCTGTGCAGCTCAGCATACAAAGGTGGGGTAGTTGGTTGATGAGCCTGCCTGCCTTCCTTCCTTCTTTGCTTCCTTCCTTCCTTCCTCTCTTTCTCTTTTCTCTTTTTCTTTTCTTTCTTTCTTTTATTTTCTTTCTTTCTTTTCTTTCTTTTCTGAGAGTTCTGCTCTTGTTGCCCAGACTGGAGTACAGTGGCACGATCTCGGCTTGCTGCAATCTCTGCCTCCCAGGCCTGCCTCAGCCTTTCAAGTAGCTGGGACTACAGGCACCCACCACCATGCTCGGCTAATTTTTGTATTTTGGGTAGAGACAGGGTCTCACCATGTTGGCCAGCGTGGTCTCGATCTCTTGACCTCATGATCTACCCACCTTGGCCTCCCAAAGTGCTGGGATTACAGGTGTGAACCACCATGCCCACCTGATGAACTGTTCTTTAGGAGAACAGATTTTGAGCTCGCTCTTTTTGTTGTTATTGGAACCCCGCACACAAATGCCATTATGTAGATATTTTTCCTCTGAGGTTCTTAGTTTTCTCCAGAGAAGAATCCTTGAATATCCTGCCTATGGAGGTGGACATGTGATGGGTTCTGGGTGCCCCTAGCCCTGAGCTCTGTTCTCTGAGATGTCTGGTTCCTGAGTCTGCAGCCCCTTCTCAGTTTCTCTGAAGAGTAAACCTCTCCTCGGCTTGGAGAGGGGCATGGCGGTTCCGTGGTAGCCTGGCTGCATAACATGAGCTTAGTAGCTCAGTTTTCCATCATAACTGGAGCCTCATCTTTCATGGTCCCTGCGCCTCTGAGGGCTGGGCTGCTGGGGTGTCCATCAGTCCAGATGGCTTTGTTCTCAACCGTTTCCTCCACAGTGGATACGAATGTTTGCAACTTGCACTCAATTACGACACTTTCCTCTACTTTTCTCCAAGTTTGCTGAAATCTTTATTTGTAGGTATCTCCTTTCTTTTTTCTTTGTCCTCATAGATTAAAAAAATCTTAAAATTCCCTAACAGTAGGCAATTTAGTAGGGTTTTGGAAGAGAGAGGAGGCAAGGCAGATAGTCTCTCTTCCATGTTTAACTGGAAGGGGAAAATCCAGGCTTTCTCTTCAGGCCTGGGAGGTGCACGTGAAACAGTCCCTGCTAGTGGCTGCCTGGGGGGTCCCTGGAGGGTGTGAGGCCACCGTGAATCCTGGGGCAGGGCACTTGCAGTACATGTGCAATGTATTTGCCAGTATTGTTTTAGATGTTTGTTCTCCTAGCCTTTGCGTTTCTTTGTATTTTTCCTGCGTGAATCCATTTCCCTTCTAGCTCCTTCTGTTCTTATTTATCCTCTGCTGCTATTTAGAGCTTCATTTTTAGCAAGTCGGGAGCACCTCTCTGAACCAAAGGTCTCAAGTTCATCTTTCTTTCTCCCAGCCTAAGCCTGTGCTGCTGTCATGAGTGGCAAGCTTGTGTTTATTCTGTCGTCTTATCAGTCCTAAGTGCCCTGTTACAGAGAATGCCTGTTTTTCACTGTCTAGCTCAGTTACCAGGAGTCACTGTGACTGACACCCACAGGTCCCTCAGAAGTCAGATTTCTCTTGGAGCTGATAAAGCAAATAAAATGTGACCTAAGCAGGCTGAGCTGGACAGGTTCCTTCTCACCTTCGCCCTCTGCCACATTGACATTCTTATCTGATGGCATAGGCTGGGAGTTCAGGATCCACTTAGATGGGTTCCGTTCAGGGAATACCAGTGTTTACATCTTTCCTTTTAAGGAAGTATCCTGGCTGGAATATTCCCCATCCGGACACAGGCTGCACATCTCTGTAAGTGTCAAAGCTGCCATGATCATCTCGGTAACTCACTCTTACTCCACAATGTCTGCATTCACTACAGGGCTCCATGATTAGTCTGTAATGTAAACGCCTGGCCCAAGACGTATGGCCTGAGTTTATCCAAGGCCCAAACAATTACCAAACATTCCTCTTAGATAGAAGACAGATTTCTTTCCCTTGGCAAAGATCTTCTACTGAGATATGTTACAGGATGTTTTACATTCTCTTGGTCTTATAATAACACCACGCCCAATCCAGTATTTGATGCATCGGTGGCCATTCGGAAGGTTGTTATTTTTAAAATACATGTTGTTCTCAGCCTGCAGCTCTCATAGCTGTAAAAGAAAATACAATCTTGTTTCCACCTTTCTAGAGTTTTATGGCACCTGGGAACTGGGATCAAGCTGGGACTGGGCCTAGGAATCAGGGTGGGTGAGTGGTGCCCACATCAGGGAATTTGAGTGCCCCACAGGCTGGAAGGGATGCTCTGGTTGTAACCTTAAGATAAACAGATTGGGCTGGACATCTGTGGTTTCAGATTAGGCAGGAAGGAAGTCATCTCCTACCTGGATTATTCAGTATCTTCCTTACTGGTCCTGCAGTGATCCTGGGAGGGTGATATGATGGGCTTTGTTTACAGATGGATGAGCCAAATGAGCCCCTGGGAAGTGAAGTGACTGTCATGAGGAACTCTCAGGGCCAGGTTGGAACCCAGGCCTCCTGACTCCAAGCTTGTCCTTTCACTGCCCTACAGCTGCTTCCTGAGCCCCTTTCCTGGATCACTCAAGCAAAACAAACCAGCTTCCTGCTAGTTAAGGGGGAAAGGGGTTTAATGGGGACTGACTCATTGAGGTTGGCAGTCCCCTTTGGTTAATTTCATCAGGTCATCCCCCAGCATTCCTTTTCCTTGTGTGGAGACACAGATCAGAGGCAATCTGGCTCTGTATAAACTCACTTTGTGACTCTGGGTGAATCATTTCCCGCTCTGGGTTTCAGGTTCCTCATTGCACGGTAAGTATATTGGAATTCAGTGGTTCTCAGATCTGCTGGAACATCAGAATCACCTGGGGACCTGTTCTTTAAAAAAAAAAACCAACTCTGTTGAGTCACATTTTATGTATAATAAAGTTCACCCATTTCAAGTGTACAATCAATGATTTTTAGTAAATTTACCAAGTTGTGCAACTACAGCATCAGTCAGTTTTAGAACATTGTTATCACGTCAATAATATCCCCATTCCCACTCCCTGCCCTAGGCAACAAGTAAGCTATGTACTTTCAGCCCATGTAGATTTACCTCCTCTGGACATTTCATGTAAACAGAATCATGCACTATCTGGTCTCTTGCATCTGGCGTCTGTTAATATAACATCCTTGAGGTCCATTAATGCTGTAGCATGTGTTGATAGCCTATTTCTTTCCGTTGCTCAATAATATGGCAATTGTATGATATGCCATGTGTTGTTTATCTGCTTATCAGTTGATGGATATTTGGCCCAGTTGATGAATCATGAATGGTGCTGCTCAGAACATACATGGGCACATTTTTGTGAGGGCGTCTGTTTTCATTTCTCTTGCATATATATACCTAGAAGTGGAATTACTGGATCAAATGGTAACTCTTATGTTTAACTTTTTAGGAAACAGCCAAACTGTTTCCCAAAGTGGCTGTACCATTTTACATTCCCACCAATAGACAAGGGTTCCCCCAGAGAGCTTTTTAAAAATTCTCATTTCTGGGCCCTGCCCACCTGAGGTCTGGCATGGGGCCCAGGAATCTGCATTTTATGAGCTCCTCAGGTAATTCAGATACATCTGGTACATAGATGTGTTTAGGCCCACTAAGACAGGGTGACCTCTGAAGCCTCCTAAGGCCTGTGGTCTCTATTCTGTGCCTCTAGGGCAAGACTCACACTCCTGCCAAGTCTCTAGTGGTGTTTGTCTTTGGATTAGAGAATCAGTAAGCAGAGCAGGGCTGAGGAAGTTGGTCAAGCAGCATGCCTCACTCTGTGCAGCACCTGTCCTGCATTATCCTCCACACCGGCCAAGCTTTGTGTCCTGGCTTCATGGACATAAAAGTTTATTACAGGTTTTTATGTGTTATCACACTCTAAGAGTGCCATAAAATCAAGGGTCCAGTTTTCAGTGCATCTGAAAATGTCCTATTCCTTTGTTATAATCTCAGTTGCAGTCATTTTGGTAGCTTTGTTGAGAAACCTCATCCCAACTCTGCCATTTATTAGCTGCAGCTAGATTTTTTAATGGCTCTGAGCCTCTGTTTTCTCATCTGCAAAATGGGATTAATAACATTGACATCATGGAGTCACTTGAAAGGATTAAATGAGATAACCTGTGAAATGCAACTATAATGGATCCCAGTGCTCCTTTCTTTCTTTTTGCTCTTTCTGCCTCATCCCTGCTTCCATTATTATACATTTTTTCATGCACTTACTGCCCATTTATGTCTTTATTGTTTTTAATGAGGTGGAATTCATGTAGCATAACATTAATCCATTTCCTTCATATCCTTGTTATTTTCTTTTTTTTTTAATTATAGCCATCCTAGTAGTGGGTGTGGTGTTCATTGTGGTTCTGATTTGCATATCTTGAATGGCTAATGATGTTGAGCTTCTTTTTGGGTTTTTACATGCTTATTGGCCATTCATATATCTTATTTGTAGAAAAATATTTATTCAAATTCTTTGTGCTGCTTCTCTCCATTTTTTTTTTTTTTTTTTTTTTTTTTTTTTTTTTTTTTTTAAAGACAGTAGGGATTGCCCAGGCTGGATTCCAACTCCTGGGCTTAAGTAGTCTTCCCACCTCAGCCTCTTGAGTAGCTGGGACTACAGCTGCACAAAAGAGCTGTGCCCTGCTCTTTTGCCTGTTTTTAAATTGGGTTGTCTCTTTCTTGTTGAGTTTTAAGAGTTTTTTTATATGTTCGGGATACTAGAGCCTTATCAGATATATCTTTGCAAATACCTTCTCCCTTTTTGCCATTTGTCTTTTCGCTTTCTTGATGGAGTCCTTTGCACAAAAATTTTGATTTTGATGGTTTGGTTTATCTGTTCTTTTCCTTTCGTTACTCATATTTTTGGTGTCATATTTAAGAATTCACTGCCAAATCTAAGGATTTAAAGATTTATCCCATGTTTTTTAATAAGAGTTTTATAATTTTGTCACTTAAATTTAGGTCTTTGATCCATTTTGAATTAATTTTTGTATATGGTGTAAGGTAGAGTTCTAACTTCATTTTGGGGGGTGCTGTTCAGTTGTCCCAACACCATTTGTTGAAGAGACTATGTCCCCTTTGAATGGTCTTGGTACCCTTGTCCAGAATCAATTGATCATAAATATAAGGATTTCTTTCTGGACTCAGAATTCTATTTCATGAATCTATATGTCTGGCCTTATGATAACACCACACTGTCTTCATTACTGTAGCTTTGTAGCACATTTTATATTAGGAAATATAAGTCTTCCAACTTTTTTCTTTTTGAAGACCCTCTTCTGTTATTAACCAGCGATCCCACTGTTATTTTGCTACGAGACCAGGGTACCAGTGATGCATATTGCAGAATTAGCTATACATGTCTGTTCTCTTTATCCTTTTTCCACCAGATGAGGCCTTGTTTCTTCTCATTCCCCGTTAGATATTCCCTCCTTTAATGACCCATGGGTAAGTGTCGATCTTCTATTTCAATCACCTCCATGGTGGGAGAAGCAATACCTTTATTGTTGAGTCCCTGGTACCCCCTCAGCACCTGCCTGGTACTCTCAGGTTCTGCCCTGTTATTTCATGAGTCTCTAGTCTGAGTCATCCTTCATCCTGCTGAGTTGGACAGGCGGAACAATAACCACAGAGAAGAATAACCATTAAAAGAGGAGGGAATGGCCAGGTCAAGAGGTCAAGACCATCTTGGCCAACATGATGAAACCCTGTCTCTACTAAAAATACAAAAGTTAGCTGGCATGGTGGTGCATGCCTGTAGTCCCAGCTACTCAGGAGGCTGAGACAGGAGAGTCACTTGAACCCAGGAGGCAGAGGTTGCAGTGAGCCTCGCCACTGCACTCCAGCCTGGGTAACTTCATCTCAAAAAAAAAAGGGGGGATGAGGTAGGGTGACTGTTGATGGAACTCATCTACATGTTTTACCATATTTTGAAGTTTTAAAACTTAAACCATCTTGCAGGTTTAGTTTAAAATTCTTGGTTTCTTGATAGGGGCAAGTTAAGAACTGTGGATGCGTCAATATTCTTCAAATATTTACTCCACACTGGTTACAGTAGAAGCTGCTCTAAGTGAAAGGAAAGAAAGGAAGACCACTGGGGGCATCCATTCCTCTGCTCTGAGCATTTACCTTTGCATGCTGCACTGAGCAAAATAAAAACAATGTGCTTTGCTACAGCATGCTTGAATCTAGAGGACTTTATGCTAAGTGAAATAAGCAGGCAGAAAAAGACAAATACTGCATGATCTCACTTATATGTGGAGTCTAAAAGAGTTGAGTTCATAAAAGCAGAGAGTAGAATGGTGTCTCTAATGGGGAAAAGGGAGCTGTTAGTCAAAGGGTGTGGAGTTTCAGTAAGAAGAAATAAGTGCTAGTGATCTATTGTACAGCACGATGACTGGTTAATAATGTTTATTTCAAAATTACTAAAAGAGTACACTTCAGTTGTCCTTATCACTAAGAAATGATAAGTATCTGAGGTAATGGATATGTTAATTTTCCTGATTTAATCATTTTGCAATATATGCATGTACCATAACACACATTGTACCCCATAAAATTCATACATTTCTTACTTGTCAATTAAAATTAACATTGGGGCAGGCGTGATAGCTCACGCTTATAATACCAGCAGTTTGGGAGGCCAAGGCAGGAGGATTGCTTGAGGTCAGGAGTTTCAGACCAGCCTGAGCATCAAAATGAGACCCTGACTCTACCAAAAAAAAATTAGCCAGGGGTGGTGGCATGCATCTGTGGTTCCAGCTACTCATAGGCTGAGGTGGGAGAATCACTTGAGCCCAGGATTTTGAGGCTGCAGTAAGCTATGATTGTGACACTGCACTCCAGTGTGGGCAACAGAGCAAGACCCTGTCTCTTTAAAAAAAAAAAATTAAAAAAATTTTTTTTTAAAAGAAAACACTTTAACAACCATCCCTTCACCAAGAAACAAACAAAAAAAAACACAATGTGCTTAACAGGAACCCACCTTAGCAGAAAGCATTTTGGTGATGCTCTCCGGTCACTCGGGCATACCTCTGTGGTTGTCATGACCACAGGCCCCCTTATCAGAGGACTTGCAATCTTTTACAGAGCCCTCCTTGGAAGGAGTTCTGGAAAATAGTACTTTCTCTGTCTGGTTAGGTTTTGCTAATATCCAGGGGCTTTCAAGCCACACAGGGACAGCCGGGAACTTGAGATAGTATGATTGCTGATTGTCAGGGATTCGCTTGGTTGATATGTTTCAATCAGATGCTGGATTTATAGAAGTTTCTCATCACTTTTCTCACAAATTCCTTAGCACATATTCTAGGCAGAGTTCAGCTTTTAAACTCTTAACACTTATCAATCCCCCCCTCCCAAATTATCCATGAAGATGCTGTAGTATAAGTAAAAACTACGGTAAAAATCTGAGGAGTATAATGTGTTCTTTTTGATTGCTTTGTCCAGTTTAAATTCTCAGTGTAATGTCTGGCAGGAGAACACTATACAAGAACTCGATTAAGTTCCGATTAAGAAATTACAAACAAGATAATAAAATAAATGCATTGTGCTGGCAGGTTCCAATAGAACATCAAAGTGCCTTTGATAAACATCTTCCTGCGGAACCAATTCCCTGCTTCTGAAAACACAGTCAGGAGAATCTTTTTGCTGAGATTTTACCATTGTCCAAAGGAATATGGATTTAATTGGATAATTTCCTTTTTAGGACCCAAGAATTTGCTAAAGTAGACAGTGTGGTCTGGACAGATCCTGTTTTATTTGAAATGATCTGGGCCTTTGCTACAGGACAAGGAAAATTCCTCTGCCCTAAGATAATTATTTTCTAATTACCTAAAACTTTTCTTTCATTAAAGGTCAGAGGGATTTTTGTTGTTGTTGTTTGTTGTTCAGCAGAAATAGGGACTAAAAGCAAGAGGAAAAAAAATCAGCTCCAATTTCACCACTCAGAAATAACTGCCGTTAATATTTGGTTCTACACATTATTTAATTTTTTTATCAAAACCTGGGTCATGCTATAGCTGTATATCACGTTGCTTCATCTGTCTTTCTGCATTTGATAGTATATTGTAAACAGCTTTTAGGCCAACAAAGAGAGACCTAGTCTGTGATTTTTCATGGTTTCATGTATCCCATGTAATGGATGGATCATAACATATTTTATTACTAATTATTATATTGGCATATTTCTATTTAAAATAATGTGCTAGTGACTGTCTTTGAACATACAAGTTTGTGCATTGGGGATAATCATGCTTCCCATCTTTGCTGTTCTATTAGGTAAGAAATGATATTGCTTAATTTTTTTTTGAGCATCTTTGCATATTTTCTGGCTATTTATAATTCTCTTTTTATGAATTGTTTATTGTACTCTGCTAATTAAAGCTCTTCTTTAGATTTCCCTAGACCTTTTATTTGCTCTCATTTACTGGGGAGAAAAAAAGTCCCATTCTATTTAGGCTGCATTCCTTGTCTCATAATTTTAGACCAGAGATTCCTAAACATGGCAGTACATCATGGCTGCTTTTCCATGGAGCACTTAATTTCCTGGGAATCTTTAAAAACCCCTGGAGCCTGGCTCCCAATCCCAGACATTGGTTTAGTTGGTATGGGGTGGGACATTGCTCTACATTAGGCCAATCATCATGCATGCGTCCATAGATTTGTATTTTCTTCCAGTTTGTCCCATTTATATTATTTTCATGACTTGACTTGGAAATTTCTGTCCATCCCTTATTCTGCTTTCTTGTCACTTCACATTACATCATAAGCAGTTTTCCAAATTGCTTCTTCATTCAATAACCATCATTTTAGGCCTGAGTAATGATGTTTTGAGTGTCCTAACAATATTTGAAATGTCTCCTATCAGTGAATATTTCTGTTGATTCTAAAAGGGAGTCAGCTGAGTGCAGTGCATGCAAGCATTGACTCTGGTTTTAGGCAGTCTGGATTTGACTGACTATCTCTGTGACTTTGATCCTGAGCAAGTTGCCTCACTTCTCTAGACCTCAGTTTCCTTATCTGTAAAATGGGGATGATAAGATAGTGTCTACCTCTTAGGATAAATGATTACATGAGTGAATATATGTAAATAACTTAGAACAATGACTGTCAGCAAGTGATCAATAAGTGTTAGAAAACACTTCTGAGAATATCTCTGTATTATAAGAGGTATCTTAAAACTATTATATTCTATTAATATGATTCCATTATAACTCTTTTGTAATAAGTGTTAATATCTGCAAAGCTTAGTTTCCTTTTAGTACTCTGCCTTTTCTGAGATTCTCCTAGCTGTTCTGGGCTGTCCTTTCTCCAGATGAACATTAAAGTGATGCTTCTGTTTCCTTTTGAGAATTCTCTCTCTCTCTCTCTCTCTCTCTCTCTCTCTCTCTCTCTCTCTCTCCCCCCCCTCCATATATATATATATATATATATATATATGGGGGGGAGGGGGAGAGACAGAGAGTGCGCGCGGGGGCGGGGGGGGGCGGGGAGTTTCGCTCTTGTTACCCAGCTGGAGTGCAATGGCACGATCTCGGCTCACTGCAACCTCCACCCCCTGGGTTCAGGCAATTCTCCTGCCTCAGCCTCCTGAGTAGCTGGGATTACAGGCACGCGCCACCATGCCCGGCTAATTTTTTGTATTTTTAGTAGAGACGAGGTTTCACCATGTTGACCAGGATGGTCTCCATCTCTTGACCTCGTGATCCACCTGCCTCGGCCTCCCAAAGTGCTGGGATTACAGGCTTGAGCCACCGCGCCTGGCTAATTTAATATATTTTAAAAATAGCTTTCTCTGGGTTACCTAGAGACCTCCCCTGGTAATTTGATATTTGAGTTACAATGCGGAATTTCTAAGTTGAATGTGTGCTTCCACTTAGTTGTACTTAGATCTTGCCTGGATACCTGTAAGGTGGAACTTGTAGGGAGGAGAGGAAGCATCACTCAGTCTTTGCAATACACGATGTTAGAAAGATGGGATACCTTTTGAGCCCTTCAGTTTGGGGGGCTGCTGAGGGGCTGAACTCCACTGCCTGTTGCCCTCACTGGTCCACCACAGCAACTTCAGGGCCTTCTGATTTCTTGGTCAGATTAGAGGGCCTGCCTGTGGGAACAAGATTAGGGTTGCTTTATTTTGGGCTCTATTTCCAGAGACTGAGGTTTGAAGTATCACGCTCAAACCCAGAAACGTATTCCACATGTAAGAGGTGAGCTGCCAAATGTCACTGTGAGTCTCCTTTCCCTGGCAGGGTTTTCCATCCTTGTTTGATCAGATTCAATGAGATGGGGGCTAGACAGAGTTTCTCATCCCAGGTTGGAAAGCATACCAGAGGTGGCAAAGGGTTGGGGTAGGCAAAGCAAGGCTGAGTTCCAAATAGAGAAGCCCAGGTCTGATGAGCCCACAGGGGAAGGCCAGGGGATCACCAGAACCAAAGAGGCTAATTAGGCACTGAGCCAGAACACACAGCTGGAAGTGCCTGAGTCAGGGACACAGCGGAGCAGCAGGTCCCATCCCACAGGGAGGCTCTGGGCTGCTGCTCAGAGTAGGCCCCATTTCTGCCTTGATGCATGAGATGCAGCCACACCACCTGCAAAGGAACGTCCTCACATCCACTTACTTGGATTTTTCCAAGTGGGATGATTTTGTTGGGTGGGGGTGGGGTACTGGGGGGGAGTGAATAGGGGAAGCAGGCAATGCAGATTTTTGGTTCTCTCCCCAAACACACTCCTTCCCATGCTCAGCCCAGTGGGTTCTTCCCTTCTTGTGGCCAGTAGGAAGTCTGCTTGGCATGTAATAATCTGTCACCCACTGCAGCTGATAGAGATGATCAGCTGGAGAACTGAATGATGCACACTTTCCCCCTTGTTCCAACACCTGGGCCCGCAAGATGCTGTACCTGATGGCTCCTCATTTTGCCCTACAACCCCCTGCCACTCAACATTATGCAGAGGGCCCAGGAAGGTCTCGCAGTCATCCACACACTTCCCTGCAAGTTTTTTGTTTGGTCCCTAGAAATGGAAGCCTGCACGTGGAGAAGGCTGCTTGCAGCCTCAGACCTGTCCACCCCGATATGAGGTCTGCATTTGTGAGTTCTGTGCATCAAAAACTTCTTGCCGTGCTGACGAATAAGCTTTCCTACCCAGGAGGGGACTTGAGGCGAAACACTAGAAACTGTGTTATATAAACTTCCCAGTGGTTCTGGCAGCTGGCACAGAATGAATGTGCACAGACACACAGGCATCGCTAGCTCTGGGCACCATGCATTTCTCTGCTTCAGCCAGGACAGTGGCTACCCCTTCAGGTAGGGCCCAGATACACTCAGATTAAAGAGCTGCCTGGGCAGGCAGGGGACAGTCAGCATGGGCTAAATTTTTATAGATCTCTGGCAGACAGTGTTGTCTACTTTGGCTAAAGAGGGAATGGGGAGGCAAATGACAAATGGCCTCTACAGTTTCAAAGAATAATGTGTTATGTGGAACTCAGACAAGCCAGTTCTATGGAGAAAGTGGTACATTGAAGATGAGATTTCTGCTTATTTTTGTTTTTGGAGGAAAATCCAGGGCTGTGGGCCTATTTGGGTCTTGAATGTGTTATCTCTTCCAGAGTCCTCCATTTTCGGTTTTCCCAGCTTACCGTTGATACCATTGACAGAAGTCTTGCATTCAGTGCTGTCTCTCTAGGTGGTACCTCCTGATAAACTGGGCCTTAAGCTCGTGTCTTGGGTCCTTGAGAGGATGGTTTCCTGGTGCTCTGGATTAGTCACAGCCTGTTGTAGTGACTGTGGCATGGTTACCTCGAGGATACCACAAGGCAAATATAGACCCTTTAACACTGGCTGGCTCTTGTGCCTCTAGACCCCCTACCTCCCACCAGGAGTTCTTCACACTAGGAACCTTGGGCTGCTCCACTTTGAGTCACAAGGACTGTTTGACTATCCCAGAGCAAGCCTCTTTGGTTGCTTTTCCCTGGTCCTCTCTAGCTGTGACCTTCAGGATCAGAGGGTGAGATGTCGAGGAGGACATGTCTCCAAGATGCAGCACTAAGAGCTACTGGGCAGCACTGGCTGGAGCTGCTCACTCCTGGCCTTTTTATGGATAAGATGCCTCTAGCAGTGGTGGACATCTCATCCCAGATACCACCAGGAGGTGAACTTACTCTGGGAGGCAAATTGAAAGGGCTGCCCCATGCAATAGTCAAGAACTCTGTCTTCTGCATGAAACATGGTACAAGCTCTGACCCATCTGGCTGTGACTAGCTGGGCCTTTGGTCGGGATTATCTGTGCTCCTCCTCACCAGGTGACGAGTGAAGGGGAAAGGAGGAGTCTCGTGCTTCTTTCTCTAAATTGGTACTTTGATGTGTTGGGCAAGAAGATTCTAGTTTCTCTAAACCCTAAAGGCTTCTGCTTAGAGTTTAAGAGAGACATAATTTATTCTGAAGTTTTTCATGGAGAGAATAGCATTTCTATTCCAATGTAGTTATAATATATGGTATTATCCTGCATATTTAAAAATGTTTGGTAGTAAACTTTTCAGTCTTATCACTAAAATTTTAGCCCAAATTCTTTTCCTCCTTTGTTTCTTCCCCGATCTGAAGATCCGGTCAGTATTTCCACCAGGGGAAACACACAAACATTACTTAAGAACCTTGAAATTCTTTTGAGATAATTCAGGTGCTGCTGATTTTGAAGATTACTGAAGGAGTTTCCAATGTTTTCCAACCTTGTCTATGGTAAAATAAATTCTACATAAGAGATTCCTTCTGACAAAAAGTAACCAAAATGCATATTTGCCCCATCTTAGACAATTAATTTCCCTAACGAACTTGGAGATTTAGGCAAAAAGAGTGGTAGAATATAAAAGCTCATTAATCATGCTGGCATTATGAGCTCATGTTGTTATGAAATAAATATGCTTACTAAATGGATCCAGATGCTATCAAATCCGTTTCTAATAAAGACTATTTCTTGTTCTTGCCCAGGCAATAAACACACGAGTCTTGTTTATAACACCTCTTTTCCATGAATCACAGTGGTCTAACACATATTCTTTTCACCTCTTTCCCTGTGAAAAGTGGGTACATTTTCTGATGAAGATTCTGGGGAAAACCCTAACAAGGTAGGAGATGTTCCCCCAAGAGCCAAAGTGGATGGGTGATAGGTAAATGGAAATCACTTGGCTAATCTTGTACCAACATGAAACAGACATTTTTCTCTATTAATCATCTGCCCAACACATCAAAGTACCAATTTCAATCCAAGACATTACCAGTCCCAAGAGGACAGACTTGAGTCTTAGAGGACCCCTGCAATCTGCTCTGTGAAGATGGAATGGTAGAAAGATGAAGACATATTTAATTATGCTCAAACCCTAGGTCCTTGGCATAGGTAAGCTGTCTTCCCAAGATCACCCCCAGGAGCTGGCTGCGGGGCTGGAAAGCAGAGGGGGCCCATTGGAGGGAGGATGGAGTTCATAGTGAGATGAGGGCAGTGGTTAACATGGGGTTGGAGCCAGACACACACAAGTTCCTATCTAGACTCTGCTGCTTAGTAATTATGACCTTCAGAGGTATTCTACCTCTCCGAGTTCGTTTTCTTTATTTATTAACTCCAAGTTGCTTGAAGGATGAATGATATTGTTATTGACTGCCCATCACCTAAGATACACTAAGATGTGGTAGCTCTTATCATCCTTCCTAGAAAGGTTATTCTGGGTGGGGTCTGATGCCATCTAAGAGAAATGGATGAGTAGAGGGAAAACTGTTTGCTTTTAATAGTGGAATGAGGTTCACGTATGTCATGAACCAAGGGGCCTGCTCTGCTGGGAAAGGCCTCTCCTTACAGCCCACTCCAAATCTGTCCTCCTCAAGTTCCCAGTCACTGGAATCTCTAGCCTTCCAGATTTTCAGGGACCTGGAGTTGGCCAGTCACCACCACATCACATGCGGCTGGCCAGAGTGCACATTTTCCCTTTAATATTGGAGGAGGTGTGAAGACACCAGCCTTTTCCCTCAAAGAGCTTGAAGGCATTAAGATGAGAGAGGAGGCTGGGTGCAGTGGCTCACGTCAATAATCCCAGCACTTTGGGAGGCCAAGGCTGGTAGATCATGAGGTCAAGAGATGGAGACCATCCTGGCCAACATGGTGAAACCCTGTCTCTACTAAAAAATACAAAAATTAGCTGGGTGTGGTGGTGCACACCTGTAGTCTCAGCTACTCGGGAGGCTGAGGCAGGAGAATTGATTGAACCTGGGAGGCGAAGGTTGCAGTGAGCCTAGGTTATGCCACTGTACTCCAGCCTGGTACCTGGTGACAGAGCAAGACTCTGTCTCAAAAAAAAAAAAAAAAAAAAGATGAGAGGGGAATGGAATTATATATTTTTTGATGCCTTCTCTTCTGGCCAGTATCTTACTATTCAAATACTTTATCTCATTTTCATCCTCAAAGAAACAGGTCACACCCAGATTTCTTTCCTAAAAGCCTATGCTCCTTCCAGTACACCTTCTTGCTTCTTGGTTATCTTTACTGAGAAATTAAGGTAAACAAAGAAGCACAAATGAAAAAAAGGTTTTAAAAAGAAAGCATTTGTGTTTTATGAAGTTTGGGTGTCTAGTCCACTAGATAAGCAATTTTCTCAACCCTGGTGTACATCCCTGAAATCCTGCTTGAAAGAGAGCACTATGGCCACGTAAAGTCAGGAGGAGTACTGCATGTAATCTTACCACCTTGACAACGCATAGTTCAGACTAGCATTTTAAAGGCTCTGAGAAGTCCTTTATATATAAAACCAACCCCAAAACATTTAAAATTGCTTAACCTAATGTTTCTCAAACGTATAGACCCCTGTATGATATTTGAAACACATATTAGCTTGTTGCACTTCTCCTTCACAGAGCATTCTCTAGAAATACCAGTTTGAAGTACAAGCATAAGTTTCTCTCATTTTTAAATTGGCATCATGTTTCAGTCTAGGAGAATATTCAGGCACCATCCCAGAATTTCCTCCCTTATCCCCTCTCCAGGTCTTGCTCTGCAGTCCTCCCTCAAGCCATGCGCGTGGGGAAAACATGTTTCTTCCAGGCTTTGGGACCAGTTTGCCTCCCTTGTTCTTGGGGATTCTTTGGGGCTTTGGCCTGCGAAAGTTGCTCTTCTTGACTGACACCCCTACTTTTCTGGCCTGTTGGTTGCTGAACATCTCCTCACCAGCCACTGATTAATGCTGGCTGAGTAAATATGGCTGGGTCCTCCATAATGGCAAGTCAGGTTGTCATCTAGCCCTAGTTATGACAGTGGCTGTGTGGCCTCTGTGTCCCCATCTTCCCACATGTAACTTGGTATTATACTCAGTTTCTACATCTGTGTGATCGATGTGTATGTTAAGTACATTGGATGTGCCAGCATACTGAACTCTTAAGACCTAAGTGTGTCAAGGGCCCTCAAGACCACCCTCAGGCTTGATGATTCGCCGAAAGGAATCACAGTACTTATAAACACATTCGTACTCACACTTATGGTTTATTACAGTGAAAGAACACAAATAAAAATTAGCAAAGGGAAAAGGCACATGGAGCCAAGTCCAGGAGAAACCAGGCACAGGATTCTAGGGATCCCCTCCCAGCAGAGTGGCACAGGGATGTGCTTAATTCTCCCAGCAGCAATGTGTCATGATACCTGCAAAATGTCACTCACCAGGGAAGCATGCCAGAGCCTTGGTGTCCAGAGTTTTTATTGGGACCGGTCATATAGGCATGCAGCACCCGTGTGACTGACCTCTGGTACTCAGACTCCAGTCCCTCCCAACCCAACCTCCTCTACCCCTCAGCAAAAACAGGCATTCTCCCTGAATACTGGGTGGTCTACGTTCTGAGACATACAAAAACACTCTTATTAAGACAGTATTCCAAGAACCCAGAGGTTACCTCCCAGGAGCGTCCAAGGGCCAGTCCTTGAGTCAGGCCTTTCTTTGGAATATGCAAGATTTAAGCATCACAGGCGTGCTGAGTTAGTTTTTTTGTAACCCTCTCCTGCCTACTAAGGTTTAACTTGTTCTTGTAAGTTGCTACTTTCTCAATGATTGAATTCAAGTCATATAACAGGTTCTTCACATTTGATTCTTTTAACTGCCAGGGTGCTTCTTGAAATATTTGGAAGATCAGGAGAGCCCTGTCTCCTTCCTTTTCATTTTGTTTTATTCTTTACTGAGGTAAAACTCATAGAACATAACATACCCATCTTACGTTGGGCAGTTCAGTGGCCTTCCACGTGTTCATGTGGATCAGCTCTTCCTTCATTTTAATTGCCAAGTGATATTCTATGGTGAGGATATCCATTCATCTGTTGATGGACATGGGTGGTTTCCACTTTTCAGTTACTATGAATAATTTGTTGAAGAAACTGTTTTCCACCACTGCATAATTTGAGCGCTCTTGTTGACCATATATATATGGGCTTGTCTTCTATTTCTTTCTTAATAAAAAGATATAGTTGGCAGAGGAAGGTGTGGCATGCAGGCCGTGTTACACAGGAATATGGGCTGCCTGGAGAATACGGGCAGCAGTGCTGACCTCTGCTGCCTTCCTCCCTACCTCATGCACTTCCAGATGGACACCCAGCATTGATGGCTCTCCACTTGTACAGCTTGTCTTCCCCCTGCAAATATTTGTTATTCATACCACTCCAAAAGGAGTACCCTGCCGCCTCTAATCCAAGTACTTCTGCTCTTGTAATTTGACCTACCTATCTTTTAGCATGATTTCATTTTAGAAAATCAGCACAGACTTTGATTCTCATATACTATGGGACTAAGAGAGATCCATTAGAATCCAGTTTATCACTAAGTTAAAAGGATGCCTGGCACATATGTAATTGTCTCGGGGGGGGGGGGGGGCAAGTAAACGTCCCCTTTGCCTTCTGAAGGTTCACCGAGAAATCAACTCATGAAAGCCAGATTAATTGGAGAAACATGTATACACAGGAGCCTTCAGAACAAAGACCCAAAGATACAGGGAAAAGTGTCCATTTTTATGCTTAGGTTCAACAAAGTATGAACAGTCGTGTAGAAATATGATTGTCAAAAAGGATAGGATTCAGTGCTAATTGACTGAGTGGGGAAACCCAGTAGGGCCTGTCTGCTAGATTCTTCTTGGACTCTCTAAGTTTGCACTCCTTCCTTGTGGGTGTGGGTAGGACCCTCTCTGGAGTGGGGCAGTCTTATGACAAACAAGGTAGGTCAGATAATTTCTTTATGGCCAGGTTTTACACAGAAAGGTGTTGGAAAAGTTAGATATATTTATATATTTATGGTTGGCTTGAAGGAAAAGGGGTTCTAGTTTCTATGACCCACCTGGGGAAAGAGGGATTCAGTTTCAATGTCTAGCCTTGGCGGAGAATAAGTTGGAGACACAAAGGGCAGGAGAACATCAGAGAAAACCTTTTGCTTCTGAGGCCTTTATTTAGGGTATTGTTCACTGATGCCCCAACCTCTCCCCCACAATGTGCCAGTCATCCCTAGCCTATTGTATCTGCTCCGATTTGGTTCAGTGTTTAGCAGCGGAGACCCAAAATAAAATGACTTAAATATGACAGAAGTGGATTAAAGGTGGATGTGCTCCGTAGAGGCCTCAGGGCCTGGAGCCTTCCAGTTTCTTTCTCTCCTAACCCTTGGGTTTGGTCCTAATTTTAACATTCCAAGAGGCAGTCAAAGTTCCAGCCGTCGTATTTCAACTTCAAGAGGCAGGATAGAGAATAAAAAGGGAGGATGATGAGCAAAGGACATAGACGTGCTGCTCGTTAACACAGATTTCCAGGAAGTTGTCTTAGGTAACCTCTGCTTACATTGCATTGGCCAGAAATGCATCCCGGTCACAACACCTAGCTTCAAGGAAGGCCTGGAAATGTCATCTTAGAAGGGAGTAGCCATAAGCTCAGCTAAAGAAGTCTATTATTTTGGAAGATAATGGGTTTTGGAAGACATCCGACATTCTCTGGCATGGGTGCATCATTTGAACAGCTTTTAGAATCCAGCCTCTTCCAAGATGTTTTTTGAACTAATTAGAAAAGTGCGGCGCTCCCTGCCCCTCTTTGTCTGATCCTGGGATTTCATGGTGCAGTTGCTGCTTTACTTTCTAACTGTGCACCTAGCCTTGCCTTCCACTTCCACATATCCTTTCTCTAGACTTACAGATGACAAAGCTAGCATTGTATGTTGATATCACATTTCCCTTTTATCCGTGTGTATCATACAGTAAAATCTGTTTTCACCTCAGTAAATGGCACCACTGTCTCCCTGTTGCTCAAGCCAAATGCTCAGGAGTCATCCTGAAGTGCAGTCTTTCTCTCGTCACTCCTGTTCAGTCCCTCAGCATGTCCTATCTTCTCCTCTTCCCATGCCCTCTGTCTGTCCTCCTCTTTCCATCTCCATGCTGCCACCCTGGTACGCACCCCATTGTCTTCAGCTGGGCAGCTGCAGCCACCCTCATACCTGGCCTCTGGCTTTCGCTCCTGCTAACCCCTCCGCATAGTCCGTGCTTCACACAGCACCATAGGCAGTTATCTTTTGTGACACTGTCCTGCTGCAGACCCTTTGTGGCCTTCCTGTTGTGCTTCAGAAAAATCCAGGGTTATCTTTGTTTCTCTGACCTCTGTTAATGGACTGAATGGTGCCCCCCTCGAGCCAAGATGGCACCACTGCACTCCAGTCTGGGTGATAGAGCAAGATTCTGTCTCGGGGTGGAGTGGACGGGGGAGACATAATTGAGTTAAAATGAGGCTGTCAAGATGGGTCTTGACCTAATCTGGCCAGTTTCCTTTTTAAGAAGAGGAGATTAGGCATACGGAGTGACACCAGGGCTGCAGATGCACAGGGGACCAACCATCTGTGAGCCGAGGAGAGAGGCCTTGGAGGACACAACTCCTGCAGGCACCTGCATTTTGGACTTCCAGCCCCAGAACTGTGAGAAAATAAATTTGTTATTTAAGCCACCTACTCTGATATTTCATTATGGCAGCCCTCGCAAACCTGCCATGCCACACGTGATCAGTTACCTCTGGCCTCATACCTTTTCTGCCTTTTCTTACTTCACTCTAGCATGACTCTGGCTCCCTCTCCCCATTTCCCCACCACCCCACAGTGCCTTTGCACTTGCTCTTCGTGCTTTTGGGAATGATCCGACCCCCAGATCTTCCTAGGGCTTCCTCCTCATTACTCAAGGCCCCCCTCCTGATTGTCCCCTCCTGCAAGAGACCTTCACTGTCATACCTTACCGTTCGAGTATCTAAAATGTTTGGAGCTGGTTGACATATTCACCTAGAATAAAAGCTCTGTGAGAGCAAGGACTTCCTCTATCCTGTTTGCTGCCACATCTTCGCTTGCTAGAACAGTGCCTGGCATTGAACGGCACTTAATGAATATTCATTGGAATGAATGAGTAGATGTATGATAAAATTGGGTTTCTTTCCTATGTGTTTATTGATATCAATATCATTTATCGATAACAGTGTGGACCCATGGATGTTTATTATTTAGGCTATAATTCATTTCTACTGTATTTATTTATTGCTAAATTATTCAAGCCTTAATCACTGAATTTAGTTGGTCCCCGGCCCTTTGGCACAACCCTGTCACTGTGTGTGTGTGTGTGTGTGTGTGCACACGCACATGCAGGTGCTCACATATGTGCGTGTGTGCATGTGTTTAGTACTTCCTTACTCTCCGGAGCTAAAAGATGCTTCAGTTCATCGTGAACATTCCCTACCCCAGTTATCAAATCGGCCACTTCTTCAAGGAGCCCAGTACTTTATTTTTTATTTTTATTTTTTAATATTTTATTTTTGGGAAATAACACACACTGGACCCAGTGGGGGGAGGGTAGGGGAAAGCATTAGGACAAATCGCTAATGCATGCTGGGCTTAATACCTAGGTGATGGGTTGATAGGTGCAGCAAACCACCATGGCACACGTTTACCTATGTAAAATTAGTTCTGATATATAGACGATTTCAGAATCTTAAAAATACTGCTTTGAGGGAAGGAGAGACTGCTTTTTGTAAAAGCATTTCTGGGAGAAGCATGTCATTTTTTACTTTTGATTTTTCATACTTACCCCTGCCCCAAAGCAGCAGACTTCCTGGCTGTGTCTCATGGGCTCCCTCCATCTCTGCAGGTTTGTACCAACTAGGAGCTCTCTAGCTTTCATGCCACTGCTGGTATGATTACTGGCATCAATTGTTCCTATTAGAACGAGGACTTAGGTAGTTAGAAAAAGCACAGCACAGGCTCCGCCCCTACTAACAAAAGCAGATTACAGCCATCATCGTTTTGGTTCATTAGTTCCAATGCTCTGGTACAGATCGTGAGGCATAGGAAGGCTTTTATTGGAGGAACTTTTCTGTCCAAAGGGGCTTTGAACACAAATGTGCTGAGAGTCCTGTGGCTTTTCTCAGTAGTTTGAGAATGTTTATCCTAAGAAGTGTTTCTGAGTGAGTTAGAAAGGATCATTTTAACTGTTACTGTTTATTGAGAAAGGTTGAATTATATCTTGATTTTTTTTTTTTCTTTTGTTTGATTTAGGCTGGAAGGACTTATCTTGTAACAGCCCGGTAATATAAATTTTGATAAGTTACTATAAGAAATGTTATTTATTTATTATTTATTTACTTATTTATTTATTTGAGATGAAGTCTTGTTCTGTCACCCAGCTGGAGTGCAGTGTCACGATCTTGGTTCACTACAACCTCCAACTCCCGGATTCAAGCAATTCTCCTGCCTCAGCCTCCCAAGTAGCTGGGATTACAGGCACGCACCACCACACCTGATTAAATTTTATACTTTTAGTAGACACGGGGTTTCACCATGTTGGCCAGTCTGCTCTCAAATTCCTGACCTCAAGTGATCTGCCTGCCTCAGCCTCCCAAAGTGCTGGGGTTGCAGATGTGAGCCACCACACCCAGTCATTTTTATTCTTTTAAGAGAGAAAAGTAGTTGTGCTTTCATCCTCAGAGAAATCATGACCACAGCGTAATCATATTATTTGTATCACAAACTTGTGATCCAAGTACCGCCACACTTTGGATGCAGTGTGCCATAGTGCAGGTTAGATCTTTTAAATGGTAGATACACCTCTTGAAGCAAGTTTTAAATTTCTGCAGTCGACTCAGAGAATCATTACTTTAAAAACATTTCTATTTTAAACGTGTATGAGTTATGATATCCTATTTTCAAAGATAGTAGGATATAAACTAATGCTTTCAAGCGTTCTTATACTTTCACTCTCTTACCTGGTTTCAAACAGTCTTCTGTGGATAATTTTTCTAAAGATTCAGGCTCATAGTTAATTCAAGGTCCAGGGCTGTTTTCTACCTTGGGTTCTCTGCCTCCTGCCCCTGCTCCCCAAGGATGACTTCTGCAATGAGGAGTATGTTAATGGCAGTGGTTACAGGGAGGACTGTTAGTACACTCTCTGCCCTCTGGGTCCTTGTTGGCATCCTGGAGGTGCCCTTTGTCCTTCCAGCGTGGCCTGGGCTGCCTGCCTTCATCTCTCCCTTCTCTGGCCGATATACCTGCATTCACCTGTGCTCTGGGCTGATTCTAACTGTGCAGCCAGTGACAGTCCCTGCCTTGGCTTTCAGCCAGTCTGTATCCTTCTTGCCCAAAACCTGGACTTCTCGTTGTCCACAGACCCCCTTCACACTTTTATTATGACGCTAAGCCATGCATGAACTCCTGATTCACCTCTCTGTAGGCTGTGGGAAACCAGGGAGATATTTCAAAGCCTGCATGACACTGTTCTCTACTCCACCATGGCTACCCCTTCTTGACATAGGGCACACAGAGAGGTAGTCTTCTCCCAGAATTCCAAATGGGAAGCAAAGCACCCAGGAAGGGAGGTCAGGTGTGTCCTCTCTGGTCAGTCCTCCAGCCTTTGCTTCCTTGAAACTAACAAATATATTTTTTATTTTCTTTTGAACAAAGCCTGATTATTGTTACTGGGAGACCTTTGTTTGCAGGTAGTCCCTAGACCAGGGATTTAGAAAACACTATTTTAAACTTCAAGGATTAGTAATGACTCCCTTGTTCAAAGTTGTATCTGCCCTTGCTGTGAAGGAGGAGGTAGATGCTTCAGTTTCAGGAAGTGGAGAGATTTAGGGAAATAGAAACACAATTTATAAAAATATATCAGATTGTATTTCACCACCCCAAAAAATTATCCTACTACATTCTTAGTAGTAGAATATACTGATTAAGAACAAATGACTATATATATGTATTACCTTATCCTCAAAAGTGAATGTAGGATGACTTTCAAACTAGAAGTCAAGGTGAATGAGCGGTAACGTGGAAATTACAGAGGAAATCTTAGTAAGACTTTGGGTTCACTGAGTATGAGCAGAGTAAGGAGTGGGAGATAACTTCAAAGTTATCCCTGTTAGCCTGTATGGACATCTGCCTGCAAAACAAGCTCTTGGCTATGACTGAAATCCCACACCACTCGATTCAGCTGAAACAGTAATGTATGTCTGTTGCCCTTCCTGCGCTTTCTTGTCTTGGTTCTCACATGTCCAACTTCTGCTAAACGGCTCTCCCTTTAATAGCTCAACTTTTCTTCCAATAAAGCACATATGAAACTAGACCCATCTTTTCAAAACAAACACGTTGACAAACCTTAACCCCCTGCTCCAACCAAGGGGTTACACTAAGACGATACTGGTGGGACCTCCATCTTCAGTGACCTATTTTATAATCTTGAAGTTATCCCCAAGGCATTATGATTGGCCCACTTTTGTGGAGTTGGTAAAGCACAGGTCTGCCTTTATTGAGGATGAGCAATACAGAACGGTCATTCTACAGAGGTCTAGGTGTCATTTTGACTCATTAAATGTACTACACCCCAACCTAATGTTTTGCCGGGTGGTAGGGAAGGGAAGAAGGATTCAGGGAACCTTTTTTTCCTTAGGTTCCCATTTCCCTAAATCTTTCCACCTCCTGAAACTGAAGCATCTACATCTTCCTTCACAGCAAGGACAGATACAACTTTGAACAAGGGAGTCATTGCTAATCCTTGAAGTTTAAAATAGTGTTTTCTAAATCCTGGCCCTAGGCCCATTGCTGCTAGCCATGGGGACCCATTGTGCTTCCAGGCCTGGCTCCAGTGGTTGAAGGCCTAGATACACTGAACCTGGGGACAAGCATCCTCATTTCCAGCAGCTGACCAGAGTGGGGGGCTCCCTGGGCCTGGGGATGGCTGGGCCCCCAACAAACAACAGGGTCTGGCTGGAAGATTTATGTTCCAAGCATCTCAGTGGAGTTCTGAGAACACAAATATAATGGATGTTAGGGTCGAAATCTGGAGACTGAGCCCATGTTGGGAAAATACCAAAGTATTATGCTTTGTAGTTATCAGTGAGACCTAATAAACCATTGTCAATCCTGACATTTATATTTTCATGTGACACAAAATGAGCCATGGGAACTGCTTTTCAAAGTCCCTTAGAAAGTGTTGGCAGAACCCAAAGTTTTAAAAATATTGGGTGGGATATAAATGTTTAGACAGATTAGATTGCCTAAGTGTTTGCTTTGTATAATAGTCTGAATAAACTGCTGAGGGAAAATTTTCAGAGCTGGATATTGGTGTTTAAAATAGTTGATATACAAGTGACTAAGCCTCCATTCCCTTTACTTCTGAAACAGATTTGTGATGGAAAGCATTAGAAATGGGGAGTAGCCATAAAAGGAAAAAGGGTGTTGTCTTTTGTGGACCCATTTCTGGGTACACAGGATGGAATGTTTTTGGAGGCGGTATATTAAGTCCATTCTCACCCTGCTAATAAAGACATACCTGAGGCTGGTAATTTATAAGTACAAAGAGGTTTAATGGACTCATGGCTAAGGAGGTCTCACAGTCATGGCAGAAGGTGAAGGAGGAGCAAAGGCATGTCTTACATGGCGGCAGGCAAGAGAACACGTGCAGGAGAACTGCCCTTTTATAAAACCATCATCTCATGAGACTTATTTGCTACCATGAGAACAGCACAGGAAAAACCCACCCCCATGATTCAGTTACCTCCCACTGGGTCCCTCCCATGACATGAGATTATGACAATTCAAGGTGGGATTTGGGTGGGGACACAGAGCCAAACCATGTCAGATGGCAAAATTTATCCTTTGGGAAGTTTATTTTTTCATATGATTCCAAGGAAGAGGCTGCCTGTGTTAGGGGTATAGTGGGATAGCTGAGGACTGGGAATGGTCTGGATTCAAATCCTGGATCTATCACCACGTATTGACATTTGACAAATTACTAAACTTCTTCCAGCTTTATTTTCCACATCTGTAAATGGAGAAATTCATAGTACCTACCTTCATAGAATTCTCATGGCATTAAATGAGATACACTACCTAATGTGTTTGATTAGCAAATGCCTAGTATTTGATCAGGGCTGAGTAAGTATCAGTGTCTCTTGTGATCCTCACTGCTGTTTAAGAGAGGAGGTGGTGGAGCTTAGAACTTAAATGCACAGGTGCTTCTTGTGCATCATCCACTTATCAGTGGCTTTTGAGGGGTGGTAGGGAAGGGAGGAAGGATTTGGAGAGTGTGGAGTTACATGTTCCTAATCTGCTTGGGCCGCCCATAGGGGAAATTCATGAAGAACGGTCCCAGTTCCTTCCCAGGAGGCATGCCATGAACCAGAGATAAAGCAATGAATTTGGGAAGACACAGATTCAAGACGACTGAGCCTCCAAAGTTAACATGGACTAGGATAGAGGCAGTATGGATGACCACCAGAATGAAGGCCAAGGAGGTCAGGGGTGGAGACAGACAGAGAGCCAGGGAGGGGCAGTAGGCATAGGGTGGAGCACGGTTTGAAGCGGAGTTAGTTTGGTGTTTCCTACACCTGGTACATTTGTTCCTTGGCCACACTGAGAGAAGGAATATTAATGGGAAGAAGCCACTATGTGTCCTTTGGTCATTAAGTTCCTAGCCCAACATAAAAACTCCTGGAGTAAGTATCCTAATGGGAAAGGCTAAAGCCTCTTGGAGGCACTCAGGGTTTGGCCATGGAGTCATTGATGGGTCAAGAGTTGTTAAGGTGATTCAGACCAACACAAACACAGAGCCAACCAGGGGCCTGTAGCTGAGGCTATGGCTCAGCCCATCAGCAATCAGAAAGGCCAAAACCACAATGGATCATTTCATTCTGGGTTGGGAATGACTAGAATCAAGATCCTAGGGGAAGCAGGAGCAATGAATCTAAGACTTAGAACAAAAGGAGCGCAGACACCCAGGTTATCTAAAAGAGAGTCAGACGATGGCAAGTGTGAACCTGAGAGGCAGGAGGGCTGGGAAGGCAGAGTACAGCAGTGGAGAGAGCACTGAGCTAAGAGCTGGAGCCCTGGGTTGCAGTATGATTCTCCTAGCTTGGGGTTTAGCTTTGGATCATTTGTTTCATTTCTCATAGTTTGTTTCCTCATCTTCAAAATGGGGGTGATCATGGCCTAGGTCATAATGTTGGTTAGTGGTAGAACCTGATTTAGAACCGGATCTCCTGGAGGTAACAATTTATACTTGTGCTGGACATTTGGTGCTTGCAAAATACTTCTCAAGTGATCTCATTTGACCACATTTGTTCCAGGCCTATTTCCAGCACACCACAATCAGAACTGATCACCTTAGGACACTCCTGCTATGTCTAATCAAGGAAACAGGGAACACTACAATGCTGACGTCAAACAAGGATTCTAAAATCTTTTAAATGTCCAAAAATTCGTTTTGAAATCTTCAGCAAATACTCTTTTAATTCCGGAGAAATCCACTCTTCCTTAAAGTATTTACAAAAGTAGAACCCAGTGTCTTATTCAGTGTTTTTCTTTGTTCTGAGTTGTCCCGTTGGTGGTGCTGCCCTGTTAGAAGTCAGGGTGTTGCTAGGCTATTGATGGTTTATTTGGCCAAGTGTTACAAACATGTGGTTAAGCAAACGTAAGCAAATTCTTTATTTACAGGAGTTCTCAGAGCTCTTACTATACCTACGTGAATTATAAATCTTCAAAAGGAAGATATAGTAACTGGACTTCAGCAAAGGGATCATAGAACCATTTTTAAATTTCTTGTTGCTGCTGTTAGAGAAATCCCTTGGCACTAACATTCTTGGGAATATGCTTAGAGAAATGCTGACTCAGATTCATGCTTACGGAGCTAAGAGTCTACTGGGTCACCCCCAGGTGAACTCCTGGTTCCCAAAGTTGGCCTTTGAATGAGTCATCTTCCCCCATCACGGTGAACTGTGTGAGGATCGTTCTGTAGTCATTCATGATAACCACTTCACGGTTTAGTAGGACAATTCCATAATGCCTTACATTTTGTATAAGTTGAAAGCTCATAAAACATCTTCGTATATTTGCAATGTACTAAAGACCACAAGTTAATCTAGACTAAAACAACCTCAAAGTTATTTGCCATCTTCTGAACATCTCCATATTACAGCAACTCCACTTCCCATGAGCAGATCCATTTTCCTTTTTCCATGGGGATAGCAGCTTCCAGCAAGCTAAAATCTCCTTTGGATCACAAATTATTTCCTTCTCCTAAAGGTTCCTGATGTTACTAAGATTTAAAATAGGTCACCTCACATTTTTGGCATTTTCATACAATGCAGCCCACCTTGGATTGGCAAAGAAACAGACAACATGGTGGGGGGGGGGGAAGATCTAACTAGCCCAAGAAAGTCTGTTCCTGAAAAGTGATCAAACTTTTTGCTCCATCCATATCTTTCCTCGCAACAGCTTTTTCAAAAAGTGTGGGACTCACACTGCTTGCCCCTTGATTTTGGTGGAACTAATAAACCTCATCAAATAACACTGAATCCTAGAATGAGAAAGTCATTCCTTTTTGAATTCTCTTTCAACCTCAGACTGCATCCTTTTTTTTTTTTTAACATCAAGGAAGATGTTATGCTAGTGATGTTTTTAATAGTTCTCAAATTGAGCTAGTCTTCAATTTTGTCTAGCTAGAATTTAATAACA